CTAGATGCTCAGGGTACATAAGTGAAGACGTACACAGTCCCAAGCCTTTCTTATAGTCTAGAGAAACAATAAAAACAGTTCATAGGGACTGCGGGCTTACGCAATGTTTATGGGTGATAGAAGTGTTTTAAATCGATCTTATTTAATTCTCACGACAGTGCTATGAAGTAGCACTATTACCCCATTACTGGGACTTAGACAAATTAAATAGACTTTCTAAGCCCCGCATCGCACAGCTATTAAATGGTAGAGATGGAATTCAAAAGCACATGTGCCTGCTTCACCATGATGTTAGTTAGACAGCCTCCCTCCGCAGAACCCCCACTTACGGCAGGAGGTGATACTACCTAGCGGGCTGCATGGGTGCTCTGTATGGCGGGATGGCACTGTGCCCAAGCACCCACCTGTGATGGCAGGAGGCTTTGCCAAGGAGACAGGTGATGAACAAAATATCCCTTTGCTTCCTTTAAAAGACCAGATACCTGGTGAGGTTAATTCCGACTTACAGATTTAGGGTAGTAATTTCAAGAAGTAGCAAGAATTCTTTTAGAGAAGCTCCTCGAGAAGGAGACTGTCCAGAAGGACGCGGGAATGACAACAGCATGACTTCCGGTGTCATGGCTGCCAGCGTGGAGAGACAAGATCCGCACTCTGCACCTCACCTTTTGCTGCTGCTCAGTGGTCATGAACCTGTTTGTTGTTCTCTTCCCCGTAAAACCTAAGAAATTTATGGGAACCTGTAAATGGCAGAAACTCCAGATTCTGGCTTTAAAGTCAACAGACAACATCTTCCAGACTTTGCTAGTACTGCACATTCTTGTCACTATTTAAATAACTCTAAGTTCCAGAACCAAATGGACATAAACTTTGCTGGCCAAGATTCTGCTCATGGCTCCAGCCTTCACAGTACTAATTTCTCTAAATTTCACATCTGTACTTTTTAGGGAACGAGCGACAATTCTCTCTTCCTTTTTAAAATTGATCTTTGTGAAAACGGGGTTAACTTTCTCTTCTCACTCCCTACCCCCAAATCCTACTCCAAAACTTTGAGAAAAACATACATTTGTCCATTGAAACCTCACTCACTCTAGGTGAACTTCTCTCTTCACACATTAGCTAGTATGGCTAATATAATTTACTGGTAAAGTTAATATTATTATTTATTCCTTAAAGTCAATGTCTACCCATGCCACATAAGCCATGTGAAATAATCCTATTAACTCCTTAAGAAAACCTTAAGGGACGAGCAAAAGCTTCATGTGATGAAAGACAAATAAAGATTTTCATTAAGACAGTGGGAAAGGGTCAGATGACTGAGCAGCACCAGGAGGAAGAAAAGAATTTTTGTAAAAAGAGCTCAAAAAGGAGCACCTATGATCCATTTTCTGGAAAATATAAACATTCCAGAGTTATAACGTTACTCCTGAAACAAGGTCTGTATGGACTTTAATTAATCGAATAATTCTCTTCCATTTTTTCTTATTATTAGTGTTTGAATTTTGTTTTCAAGTCCCTTTTCACCTTTTTCATTATGCCTTTGATTAGAGACCTGCCCACTGATCCTCACAGATTTTAGTGGCATGCTCAGGTCTCTCCTCGGAAATCAGTCATCAAACCTTTTACTCAAACACGGGAGTAATTCCCACCTCTGGGACTTGTGGCCTATACTAGAACAAACTTTTCAGCACTGAAACTTATTTTTGGCTACAAACTTTGCAAATTATTCCTGTTAAACAATGACCTCAAGGTAGGAGTTTTTTTCAAACTGCAGATCAAAGATGCTTAGCGTTCAGTAAAGTACAGTTCGCATTCATCTCTAAGTCTCAGATTATGGAATTATTAACTGGTTTCTATCTAGTGTCCGTACTGGTTTGAAGTTCTAATAGTTCCGTCGTGTGGACTTCAATATTTTCTTAAAAAGATAGTAAACAGGAATTCTTTTCCTGACTCTCTAAGCAGATACAGAGACGAGTAAGAAGCAATATAAAAAAAAAAGTACAACAGACATATGGATTACATGCCATTTGTGATGAGAGGGATTATAGCACGGGTTCTGAAAATGCCTAGAAGCTAGATTCTAAAACTGTCCCATTACTTAGCTCAAATTATTATTTTTTTCTACGCAATTCCTACAAAGGAAAACCAACTACAACTACTCCACGAAACTGGCGTGATCTCCTGCTTCGTGACAGAAGGCCAGTTTAATGTCCTTGTCAAAGTCACAGTGGATAATCCACAGCAGTAAAGGAGTTGTCCTTGGCGCACGGAATAACTAACTCTTCCTGAGAAAATAAACATTTCACTTCTAAAACCTCCAAGGAACACGATCTGGAACTGGTTTAGAAACCCAGTGACTCCACATGAATAGGAAGCTATTCTCTACTTACTCTTGGGTCGGTTACTGGTAGTCTATGCACCAGAATATCTTATACATCTCGATGTCATTTGCCCAATGTTTCTGGTTAAAAATTCATTCACTGGTTTCTAACTTAATACTCAAAAATTCTACCAGCTAACGTGAATGAGACTTTTGTTTTCTTGTTTTCGTAAACTTACAGATGTTGCTGACGCTGAGTTTAGCTGGCGGAACACCTCCTGGGGGCTAACTCAAAAATGCCCTTCCATAGCCAGTGGCACACGGGAAATCTCACGGGACTTATATCTATTATTCAACGTTGAATAAGGTATAAGCATTACTGAATAATCGGGCTTATTAATTATGGAAGAGAAATCAGGAACACCTGGTAAAAAGGCCTTACAGGAAAAAAACCCTTTTCTTTGTATTTTCCTACACTTGCAGAAGCCCAGAGGTGAGTCACAACTCCGTGAGCCATTTAGTATAGAGAGCTATATTGAATTGACAACAAATATGCACATTTCAAGGCCTCTGTTACATCTCATAGCGCTAGGTCGAGTGGCTAATTTCCCCCTCCTTCTCGCTGATAGTCACAACAGTGAATAAAGCTTGTTTGCAGGCTAATCTGTCACTCAATTGCCATGGTATCATTATAAATAGCAGCATCTTTCCTTCTTGATGCATCTTTTCATCTTAAAAAGAACAAACTCCAAGAGTATTATTGGTTTAGACAGTATTACAAGTGATTTCAATCATCCTCACATATAGCTTCTGTAGTGGCTTTCTGAAGAGGCTGTAATCTGATATACCTTTAAGAAGCCCCATAAAAAAACTGCTTTTCTCCTAAGTGAAACTCCCTTGGCAAAAAATTGAATGCAGTAAGTAGCTCCCCAAAATAAGATACCTATGTCCACAGATATTATAGCACCCATTTCATAAACTTTCAAGTGCCTGTATCATGCTCACTGAAGTGTGAGCAACTAACTTAGGGACATTCTATTGGAAAGCCTTAGTTGTGTGTCTGTGTGTGTGTGTGTGTGTGTGTGTGTGTGTGTGTGTGTCTGTGTGTGTGTGTATGCACACAGCATCTCCCGACTATTGTAAAGAGCCGGCCCTACTGCTAAGTTTCCAGGAACGGTTCAGTTCTCTGAGAAAAGGCAGTAAGTGAATCTAAAGAAATGGATGAGACAACCAGAGAGCTGCCATGGCAGGGTGCCCGAAGCAGGGTTCACGTTAGAGTCAGGATGATGAACTTGAAGCTGATAGAAATATCAGCAATCTTCTCGGTCCTGTTTTTTGTTTTGTTTTTGTTGTTGCTGTCTTTTAACACCATGAAGGTGGCTTAGGAAAGAGAATTCAATTAAGTCTTTAGGAAGAAAATAATTAAGTCCGCAGCTGTCCTTCCTTGAAGTGTGTACACTTGAACCATTCCCTTGAACTCCCTTCTGACGAACCGAAGCCATCTAATGCTGAGAACTGTCTGGGGCAGAGTCAAATGAAGTGTGCACCGTGATGGGCTGTAACCAGGCTGGAGTCTGCATCTCTGGATTTGTAACTTGGTGCTTGTCTCTGCAATTGTGCTATAACCTGTGGTTTATGCAGCAAGCACATTGCTTTTTAAAAATCTATTTATATTTGATATTTTTCTCACTTGAAAGAAAGCTCTGTTTTCTTAGACATGTAGCTTCCTTCTGAAATGGCTTATTTTATTTTGTTAATTTCATAAGTACAGCGTTTATATTTATAGAAAAGTAATCTTTTTAAATTGGATAATTATTTGATATTACTCAAATTGATTTTCATGTCCCCAAGTTATTTTTAATTGAAAATTATATGTATACTGCATTATAGTGAACATATTCTCTTTCAGGGACTAGTAAATTATTTACTTCATTGCCCTCAGAGATAAATTATTCATTATGAAAAAAACGCTTTTACGAGTAAAATCATATGATGCTTATTGTGATAGTTTAGGGTTCTGTGGGGCATCCTATTTTAATTTTTTTTAAGTGGCACTTCTATTTCTTACAAGTTAACAAAATAATTCAATTCTCGGTGAAAATAAATGTATTGTTTTATTAAAGGCCTATGTTCTTTAACATACATTATGTCAGAATGAGCCAGCTCCAGTGGATAATCTGTTATTTATTAGCCAGGGTGATATTTCTAGCTCAGTGGGCAGTTTGGGCAATTTAAAAGTTTTCCAATGTTGTAGTCTGGTCATCCGGCAATGCAAATGTTTCTACCCAGAAGCCAACATATAAGAAGATATATTTGTAACAGTAGCTAACCTCTCATATTGCTTAATACCCCGTCAATCTTATAGTTTTGTATTATATATACGCGCAACCTAATATATATACATACATCATACATCATACATACATACATATAATTTTGTTCCTTTCTCAGAGTAAATCATCGCTCAACGAATTTTTAATATAATTTCTTTTTCAAAATATGAAATCCCTAATTGAAATAAACTATTTTTAACAGCTGATGCTTTGTTCACTGCAAGAATGGATTTACAGAGGCCATTTTAAAATAAACAGAAGGAAGAAAATGAATCAATACTGAAGGCTTTCCGTCTTGTGCTTTGGTTTTTGTTTTTTTTTTGCTTTAGCACAGAAACACGGTCACTTACCAAGCGGCAGAAACGCAAGACGGTTTCCCGCCATGGAGAGCTCGTTGAGGCTGGGCAGCTGGCAGAGGTGGCGGGGCACACTCCACAGGCGGTTTCGGTCCGCAGCGAGGTACTGCAGAGAAAGGCACAGGTGAAGCCTCTCGGGTAAAGTTAGCAAACGATTGGTAGAAATGTCTAGTGTCTGCAGCTCCTTCAAATCGCCAACCTCTACAACCAAAATCAAAATTAAGATAAATTGCATCCTGATTATATTCATTAAAGAAAGAAAATGAATCAATACTGTAACAGTTCAACCAAATAAAAAATCAGTAGCTGCAGCTTTTTCCATAGATATCAATGCCGAAGCACAGGGTCTGGGTCTAGTGTACGAAGAGTCCGACCTAGGTGGGCGTCTCTAAATGAGCCCACCTGGATTTTTTAAAATGGAGACAGTGTTGGCATGGAGAAAGGAGAGACACAAAGGGGTGACCCTGAGCCAGGAGTCTGATACTATGGCTTCTGCTTCTTGATAAATCAGAAGGTATTAGGGTGAAAAAAGCATGATTACAGTCACTGTAAGGTCCCTGGTTTTTGCTACCTTTGTGATTTTACCTATCTAAGTAGATATTAGGAAACTTAAAAATATAATAAGTGACAGTCTCCCAGTATGCACCTTGTTCATACAAACTAAATTGATACTTTCTGAAGTAAGAATTAGGTGTCTTTGGAAATCTTCACCATGGTAAGTGTTATAATAATAATGAAATTATCAGTAGGTAATGTTTTTAGATATTGTCCAGCATGTGAGTCCTTTTAAAAACCCAATCTCTATAAAGATAATTCCATCCAAACGAAATCCTTCCATTTACTCCAATATTCACTCACTACTGATGTCTACAGTTGTAATCTGTTCCACGGTGAGTAAAATTATGTCCTCGTCCTTCACCAAATACCAAGTCTGAAGGTTGGGACAAGATACTTCGTCCTTCCCAGGGACCATCCCCATGAAGCATCTCGGAACAGAGGAAGCTGTGCTGAGCGGTCTCTAGAGGAGGGACATGTACTCTGTCCAGGCCAGCACGCTCCACTCAGGCTCTCCAGGAAGCTCTGTGCGGGACAAGTCTACCTCTGCACCATGGAACCTCCAAGCTGCAGACCGCCATGATGCCGTCTCCCAGCCTACTCAATCCCAAGCCTGACCCACGAGCCATTCCTCTCGGGTTAGGTTGCCATGCTCCCGCCCCGTGACGGCACACCCCCGGGCCCATCCCAGTTTGTTCTGGGCTTGGATTGTATTAGTCTCTTCTCTGCTGGAGAGAAGATCTTCTGCTCTCTTGGATGCCCAATGACACAGATCAGCTCTTCTTAATGCTACTGGCCAGGGGGTGACAAACTACAGCTCACAGGCGAAATCTGGCCCATGGCCCCACTGTGTGCTGCTCGGAAGCTAAGACTGTTTCACATTATTTTTTTTTTTTACTTTCACTCAGCTTTAATTATAATTATGCATTTTAAATTCAAACAGGTGACTAAAGGTAAGACACTCATTCAGAATAATTTGGTTACGAGGCTAGTTAACTAAAAAAAATTTCCATTACAAATCCTGAGTCTGATATGCACTCCTAGAAATCGATCTAGGAAGTAATCTACTGGTAGGTTTTTATATTTTTTAAGGGTGGTAAAAAAATAACAAAAACAACAAAGAATATGTGACAGAGACCCTATGTAGTCTGCAAAGCCTTTTACAGAAAAAGTTTGCCACTTTTTATTAGAGACTTCCTATTAACAGGAGCATTTTTAATTACTATTTTTTAAATAAAAGTAATACAGGTGCAAGATACATTAATTTCTAGTTATTTTTATAAATTACAAATGATCTGTTTGTTAGAGTTCACATTTCATTGCCCAATTTCCCCAATACCGAACGACATGCGTATCTGAGGGTGGAAAGGCAGGATTCAGCGACCGGTCTGGACTCTAAGGGCGTTCTGTTCTGCATGGACCTCGCTGATGCACACGGAAGTCAATGTCACTCTCGGCCTCATTAGCACTGGTTTTCGTCTAGAAAGAGGGCTGCCTATGTGTATCTATTTCATGCCAAAAAGCTGCTTCTGATTTGGGATGTGCAGGGGTGAAGGAGTTGAGGGAATAAGCATCATGTTTCAGAATTGAAGAAAAAGAAAAAGAAACACATCGTTCCGATCGCACTCTGTAAAGTGATCAGAGGAGCGGAATGGGACGGAAGTGCAACCGATCGGCCACACACCAGGGGGCTGGGTGCTGAGCGGAGAATGCGACAGGGTCTCTGTCACTGAGAATCACGTTCCGGATGCGGATCCATAGCACAGCGGTCAGCACGTCCGCTTTACATGCAGAAGGTCCTGCATTTGCACCCCAGTGGAGCCACGGTCCATGGTCTACGCCTGTTCGCGCCCCAGTGGAGCCACGGTCTATGGTCTACGCCTACGCCACCCTGAACAAGCCCGATGTCTCATCTCAGAAGCTGAGCAGGGTCAGGCCCGGTTAGTACTCGGGTGGGAGACCACCTAGGAAGACCAGGTGCTGTAGGCATAAATAATAATTAGTAATTTTTTTAAAGAAAGAAAGAATCACATTCCATGTAAGAGATGAGGTGTGACGAGGGGCTCAGAGAAAGAAGAGTTGGACGAGGGGTTGGAGAAGCTCTTGCAAAATTTGCTGAAGGAGATGGGAACTTGAATAGGTCAAAAGGAAAATGAATAGAGAATTTCCAGCAAGGGACAGAGGTGGGGTTGAAAGCATCGGGAAAGGCATGGAAGTGAAAAAAATAAATATGGTGTGCACGACAGACTGTCTGGAGCCCAACAAGTATCAGAGTCCAAAGGGAGAAGAGTAGAAACAAATTCAATTCAGAGGGCTTGGGGGAGACATGGATGAGTCTCGTCACAAGAAAAAAATCTGTCAACTACGGATGGTGACAGATGTTAACTAGACATATTGTGCTGACCATCTGCGATATATACAAATATCAAATCACTATGCTGTACACTTGAAACTAAGATAATGTTATATATCAACTACACCTCAATTAAACAAAAAAGGAAAAAATATTTACAAACATAAAAGAAGCCAATTCAGAAGGTACAGAGGACAGAAAAGATACAAGTTATGTGGGGTTACAAATGGAAAAATGGCTGATGTAAATACAACCACATCAACATTTACATTAAATGTCAACAGATAAAACAACCCAAGCTGATGGGAAAGGATGTCAGATTGCATAAAAACAATATGCTGCTTATAAGAAACACACTTTACAGTCAAGTGTACAAAGAGGCTGAAAAGGCAGAAAATATATATATATATATACAGATATATATAATGCAAAAGATAATCAGGAGAGAGAGCAGCTGTATTCATATCTGAAAAAAAGACACTAAGACAAGAAATATTACGAGAGGCAAAGTGACATTTCATGACAGTCAAATGATCAATGCTTCAGAAAGATATAACAATTATAACTATATACACACCAAAAAACAGAGCCCAAAATGATGTAAAGCAAAAATGAACAGTCCAGAAAGGAAAAGTAGACATTTCAATGATGATGAATAGAGATTTTAATATGTCACTCTCAATAACTGATAGAACATCTAGAGAGAAAATAAGGATACAGAAGACTTGATCTACACTGTCGACCGCATTTGACAACTGTCACGAGAAGACAGCAGAATACACATTCTTTTCAAGTGCACATAGTACATTCTCCAGGATGGGCCATATGTTAGACCATAAAACAACTCTCATATTTGAAATCACGCAAAGTATGTTCTCTGAACAAAATGGAATTCAATTATAAATCAACAACAGAAAGAAATCTGGGACATCCCCAATATTTGGATATTAACAACCAACACATTTCTAAACGACCCATAAGTAAAAGCAAGCACAGGAAAAGTAGAAAATATTCTTGATCAAATGAAGACAACAATACAACATGTCAAAATTTATGGGATGCAGCTAAGGAAATGCTTAGCGACAAATTTTAAGCTTTCGACGCCTATGTTAGGAAAGGGGTTTTCAAATTCCTTACTTGAGCTTTCACTTTAAGACATGAAAAAAAGGGCGGGGGCAGCTAAACCCAAAGTGAAGTAGAAGAAAACTAACAGAAATTCTGCAGGTCCTGTGGGGTAGACGCAGGCGGATGTACCGGGGCACAAGGGAATCTAACGGGATGCTGGGACTCGCCTCCATTCGATTGTGGTGGTGGTTATGCACTCAAAACGGGTGAAATTTTCCTGCGTGTTAAAATAAAAACTGAAACACAAAAATGATTTTCAAAAATAAAATTCTTTTTCAAAGTGAAAAATAAAATGTATATTAAAGCAAAAATTTAAAAATTCCATACATTGATTATCTACAGACTAGAAATCGAAAAATTATTCTTGGTATAAGTTCATATCATTTAATCAGTTTCTTAGCTATTTTTATTTCTAATAACGTGTTACTTGCATTTTTCTGAAATCTTTTTTCAATATATTGTTTCTTTTTAATAAGGTTGTCTATAATTTTATTCTTAATTAAACATTATTGACACCTTCAAAAATATTCATTGATATGTCATCTTGAAATTAATGTAGTATTACTGACGTAGAGTCACGAAGAATTCTTTTTGGAATATGACTAGAACTTTATTCTTTCCAGCTGGTCTCCCTGTCACCACAGCACTCTCCAGGGAGTAAACATACATTTGTATACTTCCTTTCCTTTAGTGTGCCTAGAATAATCCTAACTTCACATTTGTTTCCATTGTTTACTTTTATGCTAAATATACAATACCTTAAAACTTTTCAGCTACTTATAGAATATCCTGAAAACGATTTCATTATTGCCACATAGTAATTACTTACACGAAGCATAAAAATAACATTAGAGTACAATTTCAAAAGAGAAAACAGTAAGTTCTCCTTAAATCATCATTCTCTGCTGATGCACACTGACCTAACCTAAAATTTAAATGGGAAGGAAGCCTCCCACTCCACGCCAAGCCAGTGACCACAGAGTCAATAACAAGGCTTGGTATTTTCAAGCTCTGGCTTTTTCCGGTACCACTAAAAACAGCTCTAAGTTGAGCTCCAAAGCACACCGGGTTAGGGAGAGCATACAGAGAAGTAAAGGACAATATTTCAATGCCAAGTTCCATTCTACATGCGGGAAATGTCACTATTTCTAGTCACTCTTTCTCTTGA